TGTAATTGTTATTGGTGTTTTTAATCGATTGTCAGCCGCCCTGAGTCCGCAAGGAGAAGGGCGGGATATAAATTCGAATAATAAATAAATAAATAAATAAAGTCTATTACTGGATGTTAGTTATGATAGTTCCATAGAACCACAAAAAATATCTTGGAGTATAGACGCAAAAATCTGCAAGCCAGTGATAAGGGTTCAGTTTAGATCTTAAGCAAAGAGACTATTAGAAAGAAAGAGGAGAAAGCAAATAGGTGGCAAGGAGAGATAAAGACTGAAGAAAAGTATATGTGGCTTCATTTAAGCTTGAGGGAATGTTCATCTTGATCAAAAGATTTCCCAATGCTACTCTAGATAGATAAAAAAGGATATCCAATTTATGAGCTTCCAGAAGCATCTGAATCCTGTTTGAAATAGACTGCAGATCGTTGTGGATCTTGAGCTGATCCAGAATAATAAGTCTTGTATTATTTTATAGTACATTTGCTTTTTGCAACAAAGTACACTGATACAGATTTGCTTGAATATACAGACAGATGCAGACATTTTCCCATAAATTGTTAATTTAATCTTAAACTCCATATAACCTAACCTCTATTTTATTATTCAAAGTCACGTTGGGTTAGCTTTGACTATTGGACTGTCCTGTCTTAGATCCATAATATCTTCTATTACCCATTCCAGCTCTTTTCCTATAAACTACAGTATTTCTGCTTTCAATTTAAGACTATGCAAAGTTCAGATACTTGTCATTTGCCGCCACCTACTGGCCATAAAACAAAGTACACAGGAACTTAATAGCTGTGCAACTGAACTGCTTTTCTAATTGATGGATACTGACCTGTTCTAGCCTCCACATCACCTTTAGTATAAGGACTGCTAAATGATACAGCAAGTTTAAATTACAGTGCCCTGTAATTTTGTCAAAAAGACCTAGTCTTTTATGGAAAACTCAAATCTAAAATGAATGCCAAAAAATCAATGCATTTCAGTATGTGGCACAGAATTTTAGTACTTGGAATATATAATCCATGTGTCTATCAAAGATAATTTTAAAATGAATTTATTAAGTTAGAGTGACTAAATATAGGCTAAATTCAAACTCCATGTTTCACTACCAAACGGCTTCTGGAGAAGTGAAGAGCACTGTTTTTATTACATTTCATTGGTCTAATTAAAGATATTTAAGCCAAGATATCATCAACTATATCTAGGAGACTTTCTATCCATTTGGACAAGCTGCTCACCCAAATGTAAAAATTGGAAAGATCACAACTGAATAAAGCTGAGATTTTATTCTTTCCAGCTAAAATGACTACAATAATAATAACATTCTTATAACTGAAATTATACAGGAGGATAAATATTCCATGATGAATGGTTGCCAAAAATATGACAAATTTGCATTCCCATGTAAGTAGTAAACTACTTTTGCACTGATACAAATGGGCCTGTTTCCAAATGTTAATTTAAAAAAAAAAAGCATTTCGCATATAGGTCTTTCAGAAATCCTTGAAATACCTATTATTTCTTCTTTCCAGAAGCAAGAAAACTCAGCATTAGCATAATTCAGTGAAGGGACACAGGGCAGAAAACATCCTGCAGCCAAGAAGGCTCCACACACACATTTGCACTACTCAGGTGACCCTGAGGACACAGGTAAACCTCCAAATGGTTTCAATGACTCTCTAAAGCAGGGGTCTTCAAACTTGGCCCTTTTATGACTTGTGGACTTCAACTCCCAGCGTGCCTGGCTGAGGAATTCTGGGAGCTGAAGTCCACAAGTCATAAAAGGGCCAAGTTTGAAGACCCCTGCTCTAAAGGAATGCAAATGATCATCTGTCTGTAAGCACTCCCCACCATTTAGTCAGAGCTGAAGAAGCTTCTTGGATGAGAAGTGAAATGTCTTCAAAAGACACACAAGAAAGTCCAGTTGCCTCCTGAGAAAAGCACATTTGGGACAACCATACCTGGATGACTGAGAATCTCCATAGACAGTTCTAAAGCAATTTTTTCTCTAGTTAAGATCTTCTATAGTGTGTACATATACTCAAAATATCTTTGATCTACATACCTTATAAGATCTATGTAACCTTGTAGGTCTTGCTCTTAGCCTGTTCAGGTCCAAGTGACTAGTGGTTTGCTGTAACATGCTAGCTTTAGGCTAATAAACAATCATTTGGACGAGCTCCAGTTGTTGGTTTCTTTAATGAGTTATTTTGTCAAAATAGGGGCTTATCAGATTGGCAGATGGAGCCAAGGTAAGCAGATGGGGCAATACCTTGGAGGACAATATCTCAACTCAAAATGACATTGAAAAGGCATGAGCATTCAATAATATCCAAAGGTTGATAGTCCACTCTGACCAGTCTAAGGTCCTACATCAAATATATAAGCATAGGAAAAGAAAACTGTGTCTATAAGAAAGAACTAAGAGTACTAATGTGCAACCTGTCAGCACATTTGACCAGATCCACATATTGTATTGTTCAAACTAAGTATTACTGGTATATTGTATTCTGCCTATAATACAGGAATCTCCCCAGACTGCTTGCCTTCCCTTGGGTACAGATAGATAAGATTCCATGGAGCTTGGGGGGGGGGGTCAGTCCTGGATCTCTTGTGGTTGCGTAATGACTCAAGACTAATTCCTTGCTTGATCCCTCCTCCCTGTCTGGCTGGGAGAACACCACCAGAGAATATGAGTGCGCTGTGAGATGCAGCATCTTAAAGGCCAATGCAATATGGGTCTATATTAAGTTTTGAATCCACACTGCAGATTGTTCCAGTGTACTGTGCCTTGATTAGTCTGCAATAGGAGTAGAGGGTGGCACCAGATTTTACAAGGAATATGGAGAAGCTGTCAAAATGATAATAGGACTGGAAATCACATCCTATAAGGAAAAGTTAAAGAAGCAGGTATATTTACCTTATAAAAACAAGCCTAATAGGAAATCTAATAGTACTTAAGAAATATGTGAAATATTTCACATACAAGAAAAGGTGGATCTGCTCTTTTTTGAAACTGAGCAAGGACCAGTGGCTTGAATTGGGGATGACGAGGACATTCAAGCAGAATATGATGATGGTACGTTTTATTTAACAGATTAAAAGTCTACCTATAATTTCTCACTGGTGAAAGTTTTCAAATAGGTGTCGATGGTCTCCTTTCTTCTTGACGTTTGTAATATGTTTGGTTTTGTACAAATGGAAATGTAGCAATGGTGAATGCAAAGGCTACAGGAGGATTGTGTTTGAAAAAGCAGAAGAGGTGACAATAAGCAAAATTTTGGAATTGCAGTGTAGATTCCCAAATTTTGTTCTTGATCAAGTCATCAAAAACTGTAGGGACATAAAATTTATTTATGATTGTCGCTTTAGAAAAAGCAGATGATTTAGCAAATAGGCTTGATTTATAACGTATTTTCAGCAAATGTGGAGTTGAAATTTGGTTGCTAAATGTGGATTATAAATAATTATAATATATTTATAAATAAATGTATTTTTCCTCACCTGTGGGGAGAATCTGACAGGCAGTATTTAGAAGGAAATTTCTTAAAGGTTTAACTTACTAAAAAAAATGAAAACTGTCCTATGGAGTAAAATCAAATAAACAAGTATGGACAATTTTTGTGACCTGTCACCTTGTAATTTTTTGGTTTTTCCTTTTTGTTTTTAAAATAGTCCATGTGCATTGTCTGTTGATGGAGGACACTAAACTTAGATTTCAATCTATTTAAAAAATCCACCAAGCATACTTTTTAGGACTTCAAAAAAAAAATGGTCAGAAAAAAAAAATCTGAAAATGTTGGTTCTGAAAGAAATAGATTTATTTTTGTTGTTTTACAAAAGCAAGTATATTGCCATCATACAGTACAATTTGAATTGCTTTTCTTGCAAAGCAAAACCCAAAGCTTGAAAGAAAATCAACCCAGGCCAACATTTCATTAATAATTAATGCAAAGACAAATTGATTTTATTTTTAATTTGGAAGAAAACAATCCATTAACCAATATTTAAAATTGGAAGAAAATGCTCTGAAGCTTATAAGTTACTAATTATATATACATAGGAGATATAAAAGGTTTTTTTTTTCAAAAATTTAATTGACATTGAAAAGTCCGGATTTATTATATTTTCCATTTCATAATTGGTTTCAAATCTAAAATGAGATGCCTGTGTAAATCTCATTGCATTATGAAATTTCTTCCCATTTATAACAGCAATTCTGAATATAATGCACACTATCTGCATTGCCACAAAATGAATGACTAAATAATCAAATCAGGATAAGATCAGAATATTACTTTTTGGGATGCTACAGAACAATACAGCACAACTAAAAACTGAATACAACATACTTTTTTCCCCTTTCAAGAAAAAAGTGTGCTTTTAATTCTCTGAGATTATCTTCATATTAAGCAAATCTAAGATGTTCAAAATATTCATAGTTATTAACGTGAAATAAACTTTCACAATTAAGGATAAAATATAAGTTTTATATCTCATCCTGTCTTCTATTTGAAGATATTAATTTATATTTCAAGAAGGATAAATAAATACTGTAAATATATTAATATGTTGGGGGTTTCTTTTTTATTATTTAACCGCACATATTTTCTCAAAGTCAAATTTCCTAAAATTAAGGAAATTTGGTATAAAAATAGAATTGAATGTTTTTTTTCTATGACCTTTAAAGGCATATAGGATTATTGTTGAAAAAAATCCTCTTTCACCAATTTCAACTGGTATACAAGGTAGTTGGAATTTGAGCAGTTTTAAATTAAGAACATTTTAATAAATTGTGAAAGGGGAAAAGAAAAATATTTCAAGATTACATAAAGCTGGTTTGGTTATCACTATAATATGGGGAAATTATAGCAACTCAGCAAGTGCATAGAGATATGGTTTGATGGCTTCTCCTTCCAGTGGTAATGGCTAAACAAATCACAGAACTTTTATCATTATATCAGATAAAAGGCTTTTTGCAATACTCATAAGCCAGATTCTGAAGTTAAAAACAAGACTTGTCTTCTTAGACACATTATAACTGCAATACTCAGATGTCTGTTAGCTGCAGTCCCACACATGGAAAAGACATCTGGTTGCAGAAAACAGTTTAGCCAGGGCAGTTGGCAGGAACAGCCAAATGAGCAAGGCTGAGCAAGGAAGCATTTGATACATGCTGCTCAGTCTCTGTAACATCATGGAGTAGTATATGACATCTGAAGAGAGAGGTCCAACGTATCGATAGACAAATTAAAGTTTTACTATAATTATTTTTCCCCCTCAAGAAGTTAGATTCATTTAGTAAGTTGTCCTGCTTCATTGCTTAAAACTTTTGGCTCAACAGCACAGATCCAGAGGAAGAACCACCTGTATACAACATGAGTGTAAAACCTTAGATCTTCATGACTCCTCTTTACTCCTGTAAAGGTTCTATTGACATGTTGATCGTATCATCCTGTTATTGAGAGGCTGAAGAGGCCGCCAGTTGTCTACTAAAGGACAATGAATATCTTCTGCGCTATTGCTAGAAAGGCTACGCAGCTTTAACATCTATGAAAAGGAAAAATAAAGATGTTCCTAAGACAAATTTAGTTTAAAATGATCTTAAAAAGCATTCAAAAGATACTAGAATGATAATTTCCTAAAAATTGCCAGAGTTTGTTCAAGGAAAAAATGCAATAGAACCATTGTTGTATTTGTTCTGTAAAGTTCTGCTTAGCTTATTTTCTAGTGAACTTCTCACCCAAGTAGAAATGAACTCTTACCTGTTACTTATTTGATTCTTTTTTAACACATTCTATAACTATCCAGTCGTCTATTCTAGATTAGATTTAGATTAGACTAGATTTTTTCTGAGTGCTTCTTTCTCTAATAGAATTAATGAAGGATAGTGTTGTTGTCTAAATAAAAAAACTCTTTTATCTGTTAGAAAGAATAATATTTCCAACCACTTTTATGAGACTGAATTAAAATATGAGATTCAAGATATGCAAGCTTTGGACTTCCAGTTTGTGTCATAGCGACACGGCCAAGGGATTGCAAGGCTCCATACCCCATGGTTGGTTTCGCCCTGCCAGGGAACCCTAAATGGGTCTAAAGTCATCCCAGAGAGGTGGTAAAGAAGGAGGGGACCCCTGTCGATCATGGAAAGATGGCAGTCGATCCGTTTGATCTGGGGAAAGCCCTCCAAACTGGCAAGAGAAAGGCTAGCAGCACTTCCATGACTAGCTAAGACAACTGAAGCAAAAAAAAGCACCAACTAGAACAGATTGTGAACACCGTGTTTGGAATTGGGTGAGAATATCAATATTTTCTCTTCTATTTTACAACTGGATTGCCTGGAAAAGACCCCCAAGAAGCAAAAAAAAAACACCTCCGAAAGTAAGAAGGAAAGGGATTGCAGCCCCACTCTTCCATAGAAAGCGGCATTTTAATTTTTATGGGGGACAGAAATATATTGAAGTAGAACTAATAAAAAGCTATAGTTTGGACAAACAAAACTGAGGAAATTGTTAAGATTTTCTCTTTGAAAGAGTATTGGGATGAAACTAAAAAAAATTTTTTTTTTGTTTTAAAAAGTCGAAAAATGAATATCTAATGACATCTAGTGGTGGATTAGAGTATAGCACTACAACTGTCTTGACTGAGAAACTGGCAAGATGTCCAGAAACAGATAACAACTTGTTCCTTTGATCTCCAGTGACTCTTAGTTTAATAGAGAACAGCTGGGAACAGAGGAAAATACGTTGGGTTATCTACCACAGAGTGAGAACTACAATTGTTATAAAAACTGCTGACCTTCCTGGATTATAAACATCTACTGAGCTTTGATTTTTAAGCTTAAGAACTATTTCCAGAGAAAGAAAAACCTTGACTTTTGGCTACTTTTTTAGGGGCTCTTGGACTTTCTTAGGTGGTTGAATATTTTGGACTGCAAACTTTGACTGATTGATAATTGTTGGACCCCTGAGCAGAAGAACTGTTATAAAATATTGCTTTTAGTGGTGGATTAACAACTGGGAACACATTGGATTATAAAGGCCATACATAAAGACCATAAGAACTATACAAGACTTTGCTGCATGGACCTTAAGACTGGTTGTATTAGATAGGGCTAATACTCAAGGATTATGATATTTTTGATAGAATATCTGGAAGGGGGAGATAAAATGGATGCTGCATATCTAACCAAAAGTGGTAGAAAACCACATTCAACATTCTCATCTAAAGCCCCCAGCCCGGTACATCAGGAATCTGTAGGAGTGACACCTCAAGACAAGGCAAACACTTCCAGGAGGAAATCCATGCTATACTGCAATCAATTCAAAGACAATTCTTTCACATAAAGACACAAGAAAAAACATGATGAGAATAAAAACAATCTAAACAGCATAAATGAGCAAATTCTTAATCTAAGCTTACAATTAAAAAACTCTCAGAAAATGAGGACAAAGAATGAACAAACAAGTCAGAAAATAGAACATAAACCAGAGGAAAATGACCAAACATTGGAGCTACAAATAAAGAAAATTACAGTCTGGTACAGGCAAAGAAAAGTCTACAAATGTTTTGTTATAATACTGGAAATGGAAAAGGCACCTTATCTTTCGGGACTTCAAAATATACCCGAGGACAAGAAAGAAGATCTGATAAAATGGATTATAGAGTTGTCAGGAGAATCACTAGAGTTTGGGAGAGAAAAAATGAAAAGAGAAGTTGAAGGAGAAGAAAAGTGGGAGTGGTTTAATGAATACAAATGGGCAAAATTCCCCCTCAAAAATACTCCATCTAAATTGTCTCTCCCTTTCCAAACAACATCCATAAAAATACAGAAAAATTCCTTGGTGATTTGAATACACTGACTTGGAAAGTGGCTTGGCAAAGGAAGAAGGCTAGAGTTAGGCTTAAGAGAACAGATTATTTGACCTACCAGATGGGGTATTACATGACCAAACATTTGTTTGAATATGATTAAAAGAATAGATAACTTTTGGATATAAATGGATTTTATAGTAAGAGGGATATGATTTATAATTAAAATAGCACTTTTTTATGATATGGGAAATGTAAAAATATTGGGATGGCTTATGTAAGTGAAAATGTCTGGACATTTAAATGCAACTAACTTTGAGAAAATCATAACTGACAAGAATATTTTGAATACTGATGGGAAACTAAATTTAAATAAGAGCTTGAAAAACAGGATCTACATTGATTCAATAAGAAGACCTTAATTGCAAATACAACTGAAACATAAGCTGGTTAGAAAAGATGTTATATACTGATATTATTGTTATTTGTATAAACACTAGAAAAATGTCTATATCTAATTTTGTTTGTCTCAATAGTATCAAGAACTGTATTTGCTTAATGCTGGTAAAATGAGAATATTACTGGAAGAAGAGAGAATCAAGGAAGTATATTACTATCTAACATGTTAACTATGAATTATAGAAATTAATTACTATTAATCATTGTTAAATATGTGAACTCAGACAACACTTTGTTTACCAAGCACCAAAGATTGTTACTGTAAAAAACCAATAATATAGATACAGATATAGAGATATAGAGATAGAGATATAGATATACAGATACAGATACAGATATGCAAGCTTTATTAAGTCCATTAAAAAAAGATCTTATTTTGAAAAAAACATTGTTGTATTGATTTAAGGTGGATGTGCACTTTATGTTTATAAGGTATCTGAGGGACTTGGAGCTTCTTTATTTTTTTAATATATAAGTACTATAGAGTTTTTCCTTATAGGACTTATGTCAAAGGTAACACTGATCAGGTGATCTCCCATTGCTGCAAGAAAGGAGCTTATCTGCTGATAAAAATCTCCTCATGGCAGCACTGCTTCCTAGAATGTCTATGTAAATTTTAATGTCATGTGATCAGTTGGACACTTTAATAAGGACCGGTAAAAATGGGGCCTCTTGGAGTTTAGCTCTACTCCATTTACTTGAAAAATAAGATATCCTCCCCTAATTCTCTTTATAGCATCACAAAGTAAGTGTAATTGCCAACCTCCTGTTTTTATTGAACAAAAAGGGTTTTAGCTGGAATTCATTTAATGCTATAAAGTCCATTAGGAGCAAGTCACTCCAGACTTCATAGTGGAATTCTTCTATCTCCCTGCTTGAAAGATACAAAAGCTAAGACAGTTTTGGGATGCATCATATAAAGCTTTGTATCAAAAACACATGAAGTCATTATTCTGCATCCCTCTGTGCTGTTGAAGCCACATTTGAAATGCTTTGTAGGAGTCTGAACACTGCATTTTCAGAAGAAAACTAACAAATTAAAATCCTCAAAGGAGACAGAGGAACTTGAAATTAAAGGAACTTAAGAGTTAAATCTGGCAAAAAGAAGACTAAGGGGAGATATGATATCAGTGTTCAGGTACATATAAAAAGATGGTATAGAAAGATGGTCAGGGATTATTTTCCATACAAATTGGATCAGAAATACTGAATACAAGTTGTAGCTTCCTAGATTTCACAATTATAAGAAAATACTTCCTGATGTTAAGATCCATACCTAACACAGTGAAATAAGACCACTTACTGAGGGCACAAGTTTGTTTAAGAAGTGGTTTAACTGATTTTCTTACCACTTGCAGAATAATGGATTAATTTCTAACTCCACAATTCTATGATGCTATACAGGTAGTCCTTGACTTATGACCACAATTGAGCCCAAAATTTCTATTGTTAAATGAGAGAATTGTTAAGTGAATTTTGCCCCATTTTATAACCTTTATTGCCACAGTTGTTAAATGAATCACTGCAGTTTTTAAGTTAGTAACATAGTTTTTAAGTGAATCTGGCTTCCCCATTGACTTTGCAAGTCAGAGGGTCATAAAAGGTGATCACATGACCCCAGGACACTGCAATCGTTGTCAAGCATCCAAATTTTTATCACATGACCATGGGATGCTGCAATGGTCATAAGTGTGTAAAAGGGTCATAAGTCATTTTTTTCAGTGCCATTATAACTTTGAACAGTCACTAAATGAACTGTTGTAAGTCAAGGACTACCTGTAAAATGCTCTTAGGTCCTTGCTTATCATTCTGATTCATTTGCTTTAGAAATTGTCCAATATTTCTCATGAATACAGCAGCACAATATATCAGAATCATGTATATAATTTATGGTAAAGCAAGATTATACTTACTAATGAACACAAGCATATTTAAACTTGCATAATGTATATATATATAAAAGAAATAACTACTCTAATTTCTAATTTACCTGCTGTTCATCAACAGTTATAGGCTCTTTCATAACAATCCAGGTAACACACTCTTCACATGGAGGCATTGTAAAAGAACCTTGATAAGTAAAGTAACTTCGATTTTGAGGGAAGAGGATAGATGGATCAAAGTTTGGAAAAGGAGCCTCTTTTCCCTTAAATAAATCAGAAATAACATAATTAAATTCAGTGGCAGAGACAAAAAAGGTCTCTACAAAAGATTTATTACAGCTGGATAATGATGATCACTGGTATAGATAGCTTCAAGGTGTAGTTGAGATCACAGAATAATAAAACTAATAAACATTTTATTCTAATATCTATCATCAGTCAAAAGATATTCCAGATTTACCTAACATTAGATATCTTGACTTTATTAAGTCTGCATTGATTTTATTAAGTATCCCCAAGTAGTTTGAAATCTGGATCCATAATAAAAATGAATATTAGTCCAAATTGCTTCTTCTGACCAAAAATCCCCCAACTTTCAATTTAAAGGCAATAAAGAGAATCTCATAAGCAAAATCAATTGAGAAGGTTTACTTCTGAATCAAGACTGCTGTGTCTAGAAAATCTTCCTTTAAATAATCTCTTACTTGCTCCACTCTCATTAAACTTCCCATGGGAAGTTGTCAGTTATCCTGTTTTAAAAGATTTGTTACAATGTTCCTATTGTCCATATGTTTCACGCTAGTTCTCAGTACTAGTTGTTGCTAGTTGTAGCTACAGAAGATTCACATCTCACTCATAACCATAACCTTGTTCATTTCATACTGCTTGACATTTTGTGTAAATACAGTCATTGAGCTTCATAAGCATGACATGGCTTAGTATGATGTGTGAAGCCAGCTAACTGTCTCATTCAATAAATCACAATTAAGCATACTGTAGTTTGGCGTATGTTCATAATATCATATTTTTATGCATTATCTAAGTATGTTGACTCCCTTTATTGAAACATATTAGATTGACCATGTTAGAAAGCTTTGGTACTGACTAGAATGTTCTTTTACATACCTTTGTTTTAATAGCATCTATTTCTTCAATAATTCTTTTCATCTCTGGCTTAGGGTTTTTTCCTACCTGTCATGCAGAAAACAGACATTGAGCAGGCATGAAAGGTGATTATCTCTCAAATTACAATAGTATACAGAATTAATTGTTAACTATCCCATATGTCCGTTGAAGTAGCAACATTTGGGGAATATCTTACAACTTCTACCAGTAATACTAAGTATACAAACAAAAAGAGAATAACATTTGCCTGATTGGTTGGTGTTATTTAATGATGCTCTATTTTGCACGACTGTAGTATGGTTTTAATTTCAGTGAGTGTTTCTGGACTTCAGAAAACATTTTGGTAGTGGTGCTGAACGTGAAAAATAATTGAAAATATTCACAAATTCAACTTTGACTAACTGGTGCTCTCCAGCTGTGTTTGACTACAGATCCTGCAGTCTTCATCCATTATAGTTCTTTATATTTTCAGACTGAGAATAATGGGAGATAGCAATAGTGTCAAGTGTCTGATTAACGAAACACTAG